CGCACCAAAAAGTACGTGTAACCTGTAGTTGTCATTTCAAATGGCCACTTCGACTTGGGATCTTTCCCTTGTTAGTACTACCTCCACCATAATTCATTTATTTGTTATTATGTTAAATCTCCGTATTTGCCTCGCTATTACCTTCCTCTTCTCGCTTCTTTTTCAAATATCTCAGAAAACATTATGTGCTTCTTTAGGTGATTGGCATCAGCGTCGGTAGAACAACTGCCGAGAAATGAGATCATGGTTCGACCCCAACAATAAGTGGCACGCCCTTGCTGAGGCGATCTTCTGGGTTCGTTGTTCTGTCTTATCATGTAATATCGTGAGGGTAGATATCAGGTAATCGGTGCTGGATATTCCCATTTTCACATGCTCATCGAACGATGAGGGCATACTTGCGGATTTATGCGAGTTTGCTTGAACATTTTCCCCGCGATGGTTTGGTCATACCTAGTTCTTTTGAAGTGTTCGGTTACACTATACACACAATATACCTTTCAGTTGTAAGTTGGTTTGCTAAACTACATTGCATTGCTGAACCATCCCAAATTTTCTTAATTTCAGGTTGTTGGATCGTTCGTTTTCTTTCGTTTGTTGCAATTCGTAGTTCGGTGGTACCTATTTGGCAAGTGCACTTTCCGAGCTTTTTCTTATTTTGGGCTCAGTGGACGAAATCGTAATCATGATAGCAGTAGGGATTTGACAGTGAGTTATTAGGTTTCATTAAAGTTAGTTTGAGATATGATTTAAGCTCTCCGAGATTTGTTTTCCAGGTTATACCCCCAAACAAGAAATGGAGGATATCAAATGAAGCTGTATCGCTGATCCACTCAGTGGTAAGCGGGTTGTGGGCCGCGTACTGTCTACTATTTTATAAAAGCCTCATTGACAACCTAATCACCGATCGGACTCAGATAGCAATTAACTTGGTGAGTAGCAACCATCAGTTTACTATCCATCATTTTGGGTCAATATAAATTACCTACCTAGTAATGACCTAATTGTCAGTTAGCTATGGGGTGTCTGCTGCTACTGTGATTAATGGGTGCTGATCGCACTACATGTGTGGCTTCTACTACTGCGGTGCGCAGCATAGGTGATTGGTAAGTATCCATGCTTGGTGGGGACTCTCCTCCAAAGTACAAAGTTTCCTATCTCGAATGGCCTGGAGATCAGTTATGAATCGGGAGGAGGGAGTAATACTATGAAGGATGTGGGAAGGCTTAATTCCAGTTGTCAGTGAAGCTATAGCTAAGAAAAGCGAGGCCAAAATCACAAATTCGCAAGCACCGACCAGAAACCCGCAGCGCGCTTCCCACACAGGAATATGTGAGTATGGGAAGTTGGTTCGGAGTGACCACGACTCAGTTCTCGATAACTCTGCAACTGCGAAAAGGACGTTGCTCTGAAATGGTAAGCGATGATCATAATCTCGACCTCTTGAATCCGAGCCATCGAGTGTTCGTCAAGGATGGAATATGATTTAGGCTCTACACTTGCGCGAGTAGATCGAGTGAGGTATTGGTTCCTTTTCGAGGTTCAATTTATTTAGACCTTATGGGCACCGGTGTCGCTCGTGCTTCGACTTTTGTACTCCATGTAACTGGAACTGTTGCGAAAAACTGGGAACAACCTGACCTCGTCTCAGGAAAAGTCAAGGAAAAATTTGAAATCAAAAGTTCTCAGCAGCTTTTGATCGCCCTGAACCGTATCTTTCCCCGTTTGGGGACAGGCTCAGTACAACTGTTACGAATTAGAATTTATGGATGATTGGGAGTTGTATATGGGAAGGGAACAGTGGTGCGCATAATCATCAAAGCAATCACATAGGCATTTTTTCAAGTATTATTGTAAATTAAAAGCTTGTACGTTAAGGTTTACGTCTCGTTTGGTTATCTTCTGCACGATTTCCTTGACTTAGTATTGAATGAGCAGTCTGCTCGCATAATTGAGTTGCTTTTCCATCATGTCGTCGTCATCACAGGATTTGTTATCACTCTGGTCAGTGCTTTATCGTGTTCACTATATATCTTCTTGAAATGTTTGATGTTGCAGTATGAGGTTTTCTAGGTTGTTTTAGGTCACTTACAAATACCTCGGAGTCGTGATATTCGGTCTTCTCATGGAACTCAACTCTGTGTTTTTGCACACAAGGAGCTTGTTAAATTTGTAAGTACCACTCTGTAAAGTAAGCTTTTCAAATATTTATGTTGTTAGAATTTGATCCCTTAGGTACGGAGTGAAGAAGAAGTCGACGTCCTTCCGTCTTGTTGCTTTATTGAACATCATCACACTAGCTGTTTTCCGAATCAGTGTGTCTATCTATCTCGTTTACTGGGCGGTAAGTCTACATATTTTTGAAAAATTAAGGACTTCCCACACATTGTTCTTGCTTTCTTTGGAGTTAATAAGCTCATAACTGATGTGTGTGTAAATGATTTTGTAATGGTTGCTTGATGTTGGGTTTCCAGATCACTCAAATCACCGTTATTCCATGGCTTCACAGCATTTTCTGTGTTTTCGTGATTTTCTCACTGTTTTGCTCGAACGCTGTGCTCACCTATAGAGTGATGGCAGCTGATGGTCTTTTTGGTAAGACAGTTACACGTCTTAATTGATTGCAGTAATTCCCTTTTTTGTCACAATGTGCTGCTATTTCTTCTTCAGGAGCTGCTCGAGCTCGTAAGCCACCACTGGCGCCCATTGCATGTGCCTCGGCTGCTATCGATGCTGGGGAACGGAATGATGCGGAGGCGGAGGACGAAGAGGATGAGGTACGTTAACTGTCTGCCGCGGTGCATACAAAATTTTGATAGGGTCTTTTTGGTTCAGCACATGAAACAGGGGATGTGGGGCCGGAAATACGGTGAGAGTGAAGCAGTGAGCTAAGTGAGTTACAACAAACTCTGCCCGTTCCCTGAACAAGTTGTAATCTCCTTTTTTTCTTTGACAGAATCAGCATTAACTGCAAGTTACCAACAAATGAAATGCAGATTTGGTAATGTTATGAAATGAGTAACGAAATATTTTGAACTCTTATTTGAGGAAGACACCTGGCAGACATTTCCCACTTCGATCGTTATGTTTTTTGAATGACTACAGGGCACATGACGCTGCATGTGTGCTGCGCTCGTAAACAGCATGCTTAGCCATCTGCCCCTTGAAAGCGTATTTTCTCTTCAACATCTAGATTTAGATTTATTGCATGCGCATAAGCACATGGAAGTGGTAAGTACCAATAATGGACTACGTTAAAACCAATTGAACAAACAGTTCTAAAGGAATCAACTAGTATTATTCGATTCAATCTCAAGAGAGTAGCGTAGCGCTAGGCGCATAGCCCATGGATCGGAGCTCAGATCAATGCCCTCCTATCCAAATGAAGCTTCCCAACCGTTTTGTTTCGGTTGCTTGGCACCAGATTCATCTGGGTGGATAAAAGTAGTGACCTGTACATCGGATGGCCCCAAATAAGCATCTAGGGAAGCGAGATTGATCAAGTTCAAAAAAGTGCTTCGCGTTCTGGTTCTTTTCCGATTCTCCATAATATTTTGGTACGACGTAGACAGTGTATAGGATATAGCGTGGCTCGTACAAATCATGGAGAAATTGGGCTCTTCATTGAAATTCCAAAATGGACCCGACGCATAATTCCTTTGGAAAGTACTACTTTGGAAACCAACTGAACCCTTTTTGTGTGGTCCTTTGAGCAATGGAATTAGTCTTTGATTCCTGCGAAGTTCCAAATCTTGAAGTTTTTCGTCATTGATGAATCTGGTTTTTGGGGTGGTCCCCATTCGATTTTCTTTCAGAGTCGTGCTGACGCGTTTTCGAATGCACATGTGGCCTATAGAATGGCTTGCAGTAGCCAGCCGTTGCAATGCTAATGCTTTTTTTCCTTCTAGACGTAACTGGTACCAATTAAACGACAAGGGGTAGAAGGCTTCGTTGACCTAGTGCTGGTATATATCCACGATGATTCCCAAACTTTGTGTGATAAAGCGATATTGTCACGTTATCAACTCCGCCCTTTNTTAAATATGAACTGCAGTTTGTCGAACCGGAATTTTAGAGGAATGTTATAAACGAAGGGTGTTTATCAGATAAGCACTACTATTACTCTCTTACTTTTTCAGGATGGTCTACACGATGTTGCTGTGCAAACCAAAGATGCTCGTATTCTCGTTGATGATGTCACTCAAACAGTTGCTTGATGCGTTTTCGTTGTTCTGGTTTGATTACCGAGCTTACGCGGCGCTCATCTTCTGCCTTAGAACCTAGCTTGTTTCTAAACGATGGCACATGAACGCCTTACAACTACTTTCTAGAGGTTTTTCATTTACTAGAAGTGTTTTCTTGTTAGCATTTCATTGGAGGTTCTCTGTTCATAACGATTCAGAAAGCTACGGGGTTGTGAAGTCTTGTTTCTCAGCTCTGTGTTGTTTACAATGTTTGATTTCACTTTTTCCTAAGTTCGCACACTAAATACTCTTGCCTGCTTTACCCTCCTCTAATATCATTCTGAACGAGTGATATATCGAAAGATCTGTTGTTGTTTTCCTTTTTTGCGTCGTTGTTCTAAGTTATTCAATAACTGCAGTTTTTGTTTTGTGTCTCATTTTGAAATTGTTTAAATATATGTCTTTGAATTCGTAATTAAAGTAATATCGACGAAAAAAATTTCATTTCGTATCATTCCTTCATGTGAACACTTGTGATCATGTTATTCTCAGCAACCACCGTCAAGAGCGGAGGGGGGCGAATGTTGGTGTTGCGTGTATGTAAGTAAAATGGGAGTTGGGGAAAGTGGGAAACTGGTCGAATGATTTTCGAGTAGAATGGAAAATTGTGACGTTTATGGATCATTTAATCCCATAACGTTCCTCTGAACCTTCCTGAATTCACTGTGGCGGCTTCCATAGTCCGCGAGCCGGCGAGCGAGCGTGCCGGCGGGGGCGGCGCTTGCCCCTTGCTTACAACTGGATCTTGGTGGATCCCGTCGCCCGAGTAGTACCCCGGCCTTCAGTGAAGAGAAGAAGACATAATAGTGAAACGTCACTTCCTGGGTAACCCATTGTCCCGTTGACTAGTTTGTTTGCATGGGGATCGTTAAGGTTAACATTGGCCCCTTTTGCGACCCAGGGCATTGGATCATCCGGGTTCGGAGATCAAGAAGCAAATCATGTGTATTCTATTCAGGGACTCTAATAAGAAGTCCATACCATAAGGCTGTCGTCGTTCTTGGTGTTTAGCTAATGTCCCGAAGGTTTCAATCGGTGACCAACCTGAGTTAAAACTTATCCTATAATCGCATGACTTGTGCGGCTCCACAAACCTTCAGTTTCTTACAAGAGAGTGTACCTATAGTGTACCTACTAATTTCCATCTGTATCAGTGCTCATCTACGACAGCTTCACGACCAGGATTTCACCATTCTACAAGAAAGCCATTGTCAACGTGAAGAGAGGTGTCCGGCAAGGCGATACTATTTCGTCCAAACTTTTCAGTGCCGCTCTCGAGAATATCATGCGTCATTTAGAATGGGATGATTCGGGAGTGAAGGTCGACGGCCGCTTCCTACATCACCTCCGCTTTGCAGACGACATCGTGCTTATAACACCGAACACGAGCATGAGGAACGATTGCTGGCCGAGTTTGTTAGTGCTTGTGGAAAGATCGGCTTGAGACTGAACTTAACGAAGG